ATTTGTGCCGTGGGAAAGGAAGAGGGCTCGGGGGGGGCTGGCAGATTTATTTTCCTGCTGAGGTTTCCCCGAGCCGGTTCCAGCAGCGGGGCCAGGGCGGGGAGAAGGGGCGACGGGGGATCGGGAGTGAAACCCAAGAAAGTGATAATTATCCTGAAATATTCGTTACGTATCCCCTAACCTGGAAAATATTCTGCTCCGGCAGCTCCCCGGCTGGCAAGGAGCGGGTCAGGCGGAGGGGARCAGTGGGGGAGCTGGATTTGATCCTGCCCAAAGCCCCGGGGAGCCCCCCAGCCTGTGCCCCCCCAGTTCCACCCCCTGCCATAGTTCCACCCTCCTCCTCCTCCGTCCCCGCACCGGGGTGGGTGCAAAGGGGGCCCGGATAAGCCCTGTGGGGGTGGGACCCCCAGCCAGAGGGGTCCTGCCTGGGCTGGTTTTGGGGACACCGGCTGTACCAGGGTCCGTGGGGCAGGTGAGTCCGCGGGTGCCTTCGGGATGGGTTCTGGAAGGAGTTTGGGGGTGCCCATGCTTAGAGAACCACCAGGGTGGGGAAACTGAGGCAGGAAGAAGGGGGACCTTCGGGAGGCCGCGTGGGACCCCTCGGGAGCGGGACACGCTGCTCGGTCCCCCTCGTGCCTCTGTTTCCTCAGTGGGCCACCAACCTTTTGTGAAAAGGGGGAGCARAGGGGTCCCCTCGGCACACGGCGGCTCCGAGCCCCGCGGCTCCCGGGCTGGARGAGGATTTGGGGAGGAGATGGGGGAAAAGCCCCCCTCCCCCTGCTCCCCTGAGTCCCCCCTCAGCCCGAGGGAGTCCCGGAGGGGGATCCGGACTCCACTCACCCAGCGCCTTCAGCAGCTCCTCGAAGTTTTCCGAGCTCTTCATCTTCCAGTTCCCGGAGAAGTTTGGCATCGCGGCTGGCGGGGTGGGGGGCGCAGGGAGGGGACCGAGGGGGGAATGAGCGGTTCGAGGGATCCGCCGCTCCCTCCGCACCGGCACCGGCACCAGCACCGGCCCCGCCGCTGTCTCTGGCTCGCTCCGTCCGTCCGTCCCGTCCCGCCCGCGCCGCCGTTTTATCGCCGGGCTGGTCCCACCCCCCGGCCCCGGCCCCGGCGCGGGGGCTCCGCGCTCACCTGCGGAGGGAGAGCCCAGAGGGAGACCCCCGCCCCGATTTGCCCTCAGGGGGGGTGCGGGCTGGAGGCACCACCTGGTCTGCGTGTCCCCCTCCCCGAAC